AATATTGTTTCAATATTGTAATTAAATGCAAGTAAATATAAAATGCAATTGATATTTTAAAATTTAAATATTGTATTAACATTAAATTATTTAGTATATATAACATTCTAGTTATGAGTTTGCAATAAGAAATTAATCAAACATATTGTATAAGTACTGTATAAATAATTATATATTTTATAAGTATATTTTGATAATGATTAATTTATTGACTTAATCATAACATATATAGATGAATAAAACATATATTAATAGATTGATTGTATATTTAATTGTTGATAAACGTGTTGATTTTTTATACGTTTCTATACTACAGTATATGCTATGAATAGAAAAAATGTAGCATTTATACTGTACAAATTTATATTATTTATTACATACTTAAAAATATATGAGTAAAAAATGCTTTAAATGCTAAAAATTAAATAAGTTATCAAAATTAATTAAATATACTGTAAAAATTTGTCTTATTTATTAATGGATTTTTATACAAAATTTAAACTATTAACTTATAATAATATTATTTAAATACTTTAATAATACTTAACATGTGAACAAAATTGTTTTAATATATTTTAATATTAATAGATTTAAATATTTGATTAGACAATAATAGACAATATTTGAATCATATGGTATGCTATGTGAGAGTGTAAATAAATGCAGACTATAGTCATTATACAATATATGCATACATACTGTACATACAGTATATGATATAAATAGATCGTTTGATTCAAACACTTGAAACTTATTCACAAAACACATGAATAATCTCAATCTCTAAACTTGTTTTTTCAGTTTTTAATTACTTTGATTTATATTTGTATTTTATAAAAATGGTATTAAAAAAAGTCAAAATAAATATATTGCATATTTTTGTTAAACCCTTTAAATTCAGAAAAATTAAACTTATAATTATCAGTATACCAATCATTACACATGAAATCATGTGAAAAATAAATATAATTTTAAAGTTCAGATCAATTAAATTATTGTTTAAAAACATTCAATTATTTTTTTTTTTATTATTATAACTTAGTTCACAAACTTATTATTATATAAATTGTTGTAAAGAATTTGAAAAGTAATATTTGAAAGTAATATATATAACAAATAAAACAACAATTATAATAATATATATTTTTTAATAACTTATAAATATTTTTATAGAGTATGATCTTGCTTATTTATGATTTATATAAATCGCATTATTTAGTTATAAGTACTGTAAAATACAATCAAATTTTATAAATTCTGAATAGACTTCAATATAAATTTAAAATTATTATTAATGATATTTTTTTTAACTAAGAGAAAGGAGATTAATAAGTAAGTACTGTATGAATAATATTATAATGTTTTATCATATTATATAAATAGAGCAAAACATATAAAATATTGAATCACTTTTAATGTTATAAACAAAGTCAACATAAAAATTGTTTATTATTTGTAATAATAGTTTTAATTCATTTATCAAATGTTACAATTATAGAAACTTGACATTGGCTTAATAAATATCGACGATATTATTGATATATCGTATAATAATATAAAATAAATTATAATACAATAATATCACAAATCTAAATATATATACCGGTATATATATACACTGTATTATACAGTGTGTTTGGCATGTTTGTGTGTGTGTGTGTGTGTGTGTGTGTCGGCAAAGTGCACCAAACATTGAGTGTATTCATAGATTAATATTGAATGGATAGGAATGGGATGTGTGTTGGAGTGGTAGTTGTGTTTTGGCTGTTATAAGACCAACACTACCGCATTCCGTGTGAGGAAATGTCGACTATTGCTTATGGGTTGTTAAGTATGTAGTGTTTGTTAAGTTAAGTTAGAGAAACGTTGGATATTATTTTGAGTAATAATTGGTGTTTTTTACATCAACCTGTGATCCTAGTGTTGAACTTTTAGCTGAGACATGTTGTGTTATGTTATGTTGAACTCTAGTACCAGACAGTGCCAGTCACTCATCACAAGGTGCTCATCACTAACTCTATTTGCTATAACAATAACACTGTATATTACGGGCAAACAAGTTATGCCAAACGCACCACTCGTTCGGCAACTTGTGATGTGATTGTCGGCAATAAAACATTAAGAAATTGAATAGTAAAGACAAAGTTAGAGGCAATGTAGGTATGGTTAAGATTGCAGGTCACTAAGTCATACCTGTCTATGTCTTCAATCAGGTTTTACACTATTATTGGTCGTCCTTGTCTTGCATACCATAACACCACTTATACTGAGTACCTAATGTTCAATACATAACATACAAACTTTACAACAAGTTTTAATAATACCAATACTCGTATAATTAAGAAATGCATTTATATTACATTCATTACAATTGAGTTCAATATAAAATATTGCAATTTAATGTTTATATTTGTGTTTATAATGTTTATAAATGATTTCATATATAATAGTTATTTAATTCATTAGTATTGTATTTTCTAAAAGTTATAAATATTTTCAATTGTTTTGTTAAATTTGTCTCTTAAATGATTTCCTTGAAAATACTTTATTAATGTATAAATGTTTACAACAATTTCTAAATTATTGATAAAGCAAATAATAAACATATTTATCTCATTTTTATTTTACTTATTTAATAAAAAAAATTAATTGCATTATATTTAATAATATATCAGTGATAAAATTTACATTAGTTATTTGAAATATATAAAATCAAATATAACTGTTGTTTTTAGGTACTAATAAGCTTACAAATTATTTTAAGAAATAGCGATTAAAGTGAATAAATAAAGTCCTTCAAAATGTTTCAAATTGTTGTGTCTGTTGAATATAAACACTAGTCTTAATTACAAACAGTATTATTTTGCATATAAAATCAAAAATATTTTATATTTCCCATTTAAACCTTGATTTAGGCAAAACATAAGTAAATAAAATATTAATTGTTTATGAGTTGCATTGTAATATTTTTTAACTAATATTTGTAAAAATGTAGCAAAATTAACATAAAACTATAATATAACAAAAATATAATTTTTATATAATGAATGACAAATATTATTATTTTTTGGCCAATAGTATAACAAGTTTGCCTTTGTTTTAAAGATATAACAAGTTTTCTTTACTATTATGATAACTATATTTATTTTGACTTTTATAACGTTAGATAAGTAAACAAAAGTTAACATTTAATTATAAAAAACAATTCCTGTCTATTGATCTCTCAATAGATAATTATTAAACATTATTTCTAATGTGCTATTAATTGTTCAATAGTTGCATCATATTTCACGACAACAATTACATTAAATTATAATAAATATGGATTTATAACTAATTAGAAAAATTAAAAATAATTAGTCCTAAGTTAGTGTCACTGAATAACATAATATGGCTAAATTTGCAGCAATTTTTTTATATTATATACATTAATTAATAAGTTTGTTTGAAAATATCTGTTTTAAGTATTGTTAAATAGAAATTCATGGTTTGTAATAATGATAATAATAGTCTAGAAATTAATGAAATATCAATGACTTATGACATTATAATTATAAGTAAATATATTTTAATAAATGATTGAATAAATACATAAACTGGTGAACACATAGATAATACTGTATGAGAGAAAGAGAGAAAGAAAGAAAAAAAGAAAGAAAGAGAGAGAGAGAGAGAGATGTAAAATATTATGAATACAATGGCTTTGCAGTACATTGTAATGTGTTATGCATTGGGAGGTAAACATGTTGTGATGTTGTTATTGTGGATCAGACCTGTGATACCCATGCCTTCAATGGACTTGTCTATTAAGGAAGCGAAGCACTGTTAGCATAGAGAGTGTGTCTATGAAGAGGTGGCGTTGACTGTACAGTCAGTTGACTTGCAATACGAGTCTCTATACGGAAACGAGAGCTCAATCGCTAGCATAGAGTGTGGAGTAATTTAGTTGCCGTTCACTAAAGCAGGTGTTATTGCATTAGACATACAATCATACAGTTATATACAGTTGTATACAGTTTTACAGTTATTTTACCGATTTATATGAGACTTGATTACAGTTTGTCTATATGTGACTACACTGTGTTTATATGTGTGTAAACTCTATGTAAACTCTATGTGAGTGTCATTCCCTATCTCTCTCTCATATCTCTCTAAGGCTTTCCTATTCCTACCGTTCATTCACTATATTCTTGTGTAACACAACTGTTAGTGACCTCAAGTGACCCACTCTTTACTGACCATCACTTGGTTTGCATTGGGATGAACAACGAGTGGACAGTCGGACACATCTGTTATGACAGTGGATCAGTGGATTCATTGAAATCAAATGTTGTCGACAATAGTTATATTTATTAAGATGTGTGCAAATTATCATATATTTGACTAATAATATTATATACAATGAATTCATGTGATATCGATATCACTTAACGTCTATTAATATTTATAACAATTTATTGATTTAAGTGATTTTTATTAATATTTAAAAGCTTATTATTATCAACAAACACACAAATATATATATATATATATAAATATATAACATAATAATAGTTTCAAGTGAATGATTACTAAATAACAATTAATAATAACAATAACTTAATGTTGTATTTTATGACCAAAAAGAGGGGACAAATTATAATCTTAAGTATTGGTGGTATTGGAAAGTTATGTTTGGCTCAAATATTAGATGCCATTTACCATAATATTGATTTAATAGTCTTAAATTCCTTACCATCATTGATATGACCATCAATTTAATCAGTCAAACGCCAAACACTGCCATCAATACAATTATAGCAACGATTTATCTGATAATAACATAACATTAATAGTGAGGTCATCACAAACCTCATTGCTTTTTATCATTTTTTTATTTGATGTATAAATTTTATTAAATATTCAATTTAAGTGTCAATTTTTCATCAATAATAATAATACATAACATAACTAATTCAACCAAATCATCATTTTTGTGTTTATTTCTTTAATTTTGAACATTTTTATTAATTAACTGCAATTTAGTGATTATATAATTATCATTACAATTGTTGTGTTAAATGTCGTGGAGTACTAACTATACCAAAGTGGAAGTGGTTCAGCCACAGACTTCTTCCGGATCTATTAAAGGTATGTTTCATAACATTTCATACATTTTTTCTTATCTATTCATATAATCAAATCAAAAGCAATAATAAACTTTAGTTTAATCAATCAAAATATCTTTATATTTATTATGTGATAACTATGTATTGAAAATAATTTAAATTATGTTATCTATATATATAATAATATATTGATTATAATTATTGTTTAATTGTAATTTTGTTTTCAAATGTTTTTCAATTTATTGTTGAATAAAATTTACTTATTAATAGAATATTATAAAATAATATTTAGTTTGTATTAATAGTTAATAAATTGTTTATCTAAAGGAATGTCTGATAGTATGTTATAAACGGCACGAATTGAATGTTTATTATTTGATTTTTGATGCAATTTATTGTTATATAACTTCTATATACAGAGTATATCACTAATAATAGAAATTAATTAAATAAAAAACTAATGTTTTGCTAAAAACACAGTAAAAAGGAGTACTATTTTTAATTTATACAGTAATATATGTGTGTATTGAATGCATACTAACATAATTTGTAATTTTTATATCATAACTAAAAACAAGAATAAATAGTGAATCACAAGCAATACAATGGTTTGCCAGAACTGGTTCTCTCTCTCTCTCTCTCTCTCTCTCTCTCTCTCAATGAGTTGCTATGATGTGAACCACTATAACACTCATATAATAGTAAAGCAGTCACTTGTCATGACTTCCGCGTTTCTATATAACCAAAACAAGCCCTACACCAATATATTTATATATACATTATATAATAGTACTGTATATATATGATCACTAACTCGGCTCAAACTCCTAAAAACATTGACAACTCAGTCATTTCAGACACTTATATCAGTCTCGGATGTGTCTCTAAACCGATGCACTGCTTATGAGATGCACTTTTTGGCCATTTCTTCAACAGCTAACTCAATGACACACTTTGCACACATTTTTCATGACTTTACATGAATTGCTTTTTTTATATAACAAGTCTTTTAATGCAATACAACATTTCGCATCCCTTTAACGTCTTATACATGTATTTTATGCAAAAAAATCCAAAATGCTTTTCATTAAAATGTTAGCCAAAAAGTGTAAAATTGTTGCCAAAACGTTTTAAATGTAGTTTTATCTTCAAATGTAAAAATTAGGCAAACTTTTAAAGTGGAAAGTCATCTCTCACTTAATACTAGATTTTCTGCCAACCATTGGATGACATAATTAATATGAATAATTAGCGTAAATATTGTTGCAAAGTGACAACTTTTATAAAAAAAAGTATAAATATATTTTCTTGAATTATTAAGAAATGTTTTTTAGTTACAAATAATGTATTGTATTGATAGAGACAATCAATTAATTATAATATCACTGATTGTGAAGCGAAACACTTCCTTTCGAGTGTCACTATAATAATAGTACTAATATATCGATAATGAGTTGTTTCAAATATATTGAGATAATGTAAAAACGTGTCATTTATTGGCAATAATGTGTTAAAACAGGAAGTTTTGATGGTTTGCCTCTCTTAGACTCCATTATGGTCTTTGATGTGCACTCAAGACATAAGACAATCCATTAGGTAATACACCATACGATATAACTGTATACCCTTTACTGTATATTTAAAAATTGCAAACTACAGTACAATAGATTATATATATTTTATATAATCCAAAAAATAATTGTTAAATATATTTATTATCAATTTTTAAAACAAATCGCAAATTTATATCATTTACTATTTAATTAATTATTATTTAAAAATCAAATTTAAGGTCTGATATTACAGTAGACACGTATTTTGTAATTTGTGAACAATATTTGATTGAACTCTATTTGTAGTGTTCCTGTATTTGCAATAATTAATAATATAGTATTTATAATCTATTAATAGTATGTAAATTGTGATGATTTTAATTATAAATAGTCAAAACAATAACACGATTTTTTACATAGATTTCTTTGCCACTCAATATATAAATTAATTTAAGTTAAAACGATGTTTTCATTTAAGTTTATGAATATTTTTAAATATTATTTTTTTAGTAAAGATAAAAAATCAAATGAACAACAAAAGCAAAAAATATTTAATAATTTAAATCAATAATCACTTGGAATGTATGAAACAAAATGAAAATTAAATTAAAATATTAATAAATAGTAGATTATAGATGTTATATATTCAATATATAGTAAAGCAATATAACATATAATTTAATGTTAATATAATTATGTTTTTAATAAGTTATTGATATATCAATATACATTTTTAATGACTACAAATAATTAATAATTTAAATATATTATTTTATATATATCTTAATGTAAAGGTATAAGCATCGAGTTAATTTTGAAAATTATATATTGATATATAATTTTTGAAAATAATAATTTTTAACATATATAATTTAGATAACTTTCGTTTAAGTTGTTTATAGAATTTAAGTACAATTATATTATATATTTTTAATTATATAAGAAAATAATAATTATTTGTAATTTACTATTAATATAATATATAATTTGAACAAAGATTTAATATAATTAAAAAAGTTTTGATTCTTGTCTTAAATGATTTTAGTTTACTATATGTTTAGTTGCATTTGAGGCGCCAGTCCTTTAGTCCGAATGAGAGCCAAATCAGAGATTTGTTCACAATGTGCTCTCTCTCTCTCTCTCTCTCTCTCTCTCTCTCTCTCTCTCTTTCTGTATAGTAATGTATAATACTGTATATCGGGAACGATGCCAACAGATTAATGTATATAATGGTTTGCAGTCATTCCTCTCCCCTTTATTCTCAAAGTCATACATATTGTAATACAGTAATTGTATGCATAGTGAAGGGCTGGTAGTATAGGACTGGCAGCTGACATGATGTATGCACTCAGATGTTGAACTGAGAGTCAAGAGGGGTATTCTCTGAACATCTTTACTCATAAACTTTTTGCGGCATTGATTTAACTAATGCTCTCAATTATAATAAATAGCATTAAAATAATGTTGAAATGAGTGCATAGAAAGTGACAATTAATGGCAATATGTTTAATATACAGTATTTTCCAATTATACTGTATTACAATTGAATGCCATAATGTCATTGATCTTCTATTGTCTGTTTAACACTTGTATGCAGTTTGTGTGTGTATTACTTATAAATTATATTTTTATATTTTAATTATTTTTATTTTATTTGACTAAAAAAACAGTTACTCAGACAGTGTGTGTGTGTGTCTAACTGGGATACAAGTTATTTTTAAAACAGGCTGTTTTTATTGAGCACCAGTATTGGCGAAGCATTAGTTATTGAGTTAAGATATGATGTTGTGGTACAGTAATAGCAGATATGCAGTATTTGAATGAATGGTTTGCATCAATAGATGTTATACATAGCAGTAGTGAATCACACATTTTCAGACAGAATTATATACATTCACACAAAAGACAGGGTTGTCTCAGACGGTCGCTCTTAAGGTTATACCACAAACCCCTTAGCTTTTCCTCCTTTGCCTCACAAATACCGTTCAATAGAAACATATAAATGTAGTCAATAGTGGAGGACTCAAATGTCCAATACTTTGGGACAGACACCTGCCTGTGAATGTGTGTACAGACTGTACTATATATTGTGTTATCAAAAAAAATATTATACTTCTTATAGTAAAAAATAAAGTTTAGAAATAGAGGTGAGTCGGGGATAACCCGATGCTTGACATAAGGGCCGGAAGTATGCAAAGCTATATTATAGTATTTCTCACGAGTTGACGATTTTTTACATTCAATCTAAACTACTATTCAATAATATGGGAGAAAATATTACCAAAAAACAGTTTAACTTTTTGTATTATTTCTCTATATTTTGATACCCTTTCCCCTTAACATTGTTATCCCACAAGAATGGGGAACATTTAAAGACTCATATTTTTCATATATTTCACATAACAAAACATTTTTTTAATGGTATGTACTGTATATATATTTTTTATATTTTACTTTATAATATATTGTGCTTATTATTGATATCTAATGTTTAATGATATTGGACTCAACTTTAATGCCAAACATTGGGTGTGCGCTCTGTTTAGATACTAATTCCGTATATACACTATTTTCCATGTGTTTGACTTTCTAAATGTTTTTATCTCAGAAAATGTTTCATCGAAATACACAAATACTATAAGTTATATAATATAAGTATCTATTAATATATTTATATAATATTTTATCAAATAAAAGTATAATTTAATTGATAAATATATTTCAATCAATAACAACACTAATTCTTATTTATCATTAACGATGTATGCATTTAATGTTTTTTACAAATGTTTAATATAAATCTATTATATATATATATATATACTGTGTATATACTGTATATATATATCATAAACGTTTTAAGAATAATAAATATTTTCATTCAAATGTTTATATAGTCATTATTTAACATTTTTTGTGTCATTTTTATATAAATCTTTTGCCAACCCTTTATTAAAAAAAAATATTTGTTATTAATAACTAAATTGATTCGCAAATCAAACAAACTTATATGAGAAGAAATGTTAAACCCTTATATTTATAGAACTTGTAATATTTGTAATATAATAAACAGATTAAATACAATTGTATTTTGTTAACAATAGTTTTTTACATAAATAGCATTAATTTTTCCAATTATGTAAAAATAGGAAAATAGATAACCAAAACCCTAATGGAAATGAACCTAATATGACAACAAATCTTTAGATAATTTTTTCTAAAATTTACAAAAAATATTAGAAAAAATATTACAAAAAATGACAGTTTTGCAATATTTTAAATTAAATATTAATTATAGACAATTTAGCTTGATAATTTTATTAACATTATAATAAAATAATTATTTATATAAGCTTTTGAAATATTTATTAGATTTTTAATTTTCAATTTTAAGATTTATTACATAATTTATTAAAATAATTCATTATTTATTTTTTAGTGTTGAATGCAGTTTCAACCCAAACATTATAATTTTAAAGATTATCAACACATTTATATCTCATTGAAAATTATTTTTATTCAATAGTAGCAAAACATATTTATTTTAGTAAATCTGTTAAACTCTATTTCATCTGTTGTTAAATTATTACTTAATTTTTAAATATTTTTAAAAATCAATTCATTGAAAATTTATTAAAAATTTGATGAAAAAGGTTTTCCCAATATTATTGAATTTATCGATTTATTATCACCCATACATACAACTTATTGAAAGCCCTAACCAGTTATAAGGGTGTCTACCAGTGCTGACTGATGTGAATGTGTGCCAAATATTCAATCAAAATACTTGCGACGGCTCTCAGTCTTACACTTTTAGGATATCTTATGAATAATAATTACGAGAGAAATAATATTTTAAGAAATAAATACATAAATTCTTTTCGAGTTTTTTTTGGTTTAAATGTTTTTTATTATTTTTATCAAAGAATGAAAATATAGTGAAAAAATGTTATAATAATAAAGTAGGAAATCTTATGTAATATAATATTATTGTCTCTTTTATTGTTTGCAATATATTGTATAATACATTTATGCTTTAAATACTTAATTAATTTTGTATATAAAATGTCAATTATTTATATTTTTATCTAATTCTTCACTTAAAAGAGTTCAATATATTGTAATTTATTTTCTCGTTTTTGTATAATATCACAGCTTTTTATCATATCTCACAATTTGCTATTTGTTTACACAATTAAAGTCCAATTTATGCCAAAAATGGCTTAAATCTATATTATCATGAAATTTGTATAATAAATAGACACATGAAAGATAACATTTTATGTTATGAATATATTATTTAGTTTAATCAACAAATTAATATCATTATTATGAAATAAATTTGCATTTATTGAGGGGTGTAGGGGGTGGAAGTCCAAGTGGACACAACTACAGTATTAGGGTAAATGAAGGGACATATGTGAGCTATACTCAGTGGTATATATAGTACCGGTATATACAATACACAATCCATCGCTCATTAGTACTCCTATTCCTACTGTAATACACAAGCAATGAATGTTTTAGTAAAAGGTATGACGGGATTAAAGGAGTTATACTGTAGTGCTTCCGCTTAACAATACTGTAATACAATACACATAGTCTTACATTTATATAATGTTTGTTAAATTATACGGTTTGCCTGAAGATACGGTTTGAATCATATATTCATATGTTATATGACAACTAATTTCTACATTTCTATACTACCAGTGCTTGTTTGATCGGTACGGCTCATAATATAGTCGCAGTGATCGTTGAAATTCAATAAAATGATAGTTATGGTAGAGATGGTAGTTATGGTGCAAATAAATATTGTGGACATTAAATGTTGTTATGACATAGTCGGCAGGTATGGCATGAGTATGATATGGTTATGATGTGTATATGTGTGTGAATGAGAGAGAGAGAGACATTTATTATCTTATGTTAGGCTTATTGAATATATATACCTATTTGAATGACCCACCGACACGAAACATACACACATATACTATAGTAAAACAGGTACTACAGTACATCCCTTTAGTTTTTCTTCCGGGTTGTGAAATGGGGTCAAAACACGTCATTGTGTTCACAGTACACACCATAAGCACAGCCAACAGCCCAGAGTTCGCTGACCTACTCCTCACTCACACCGACTCTGTTGGCACTCATACTGAATGTATATATATATACTATACTTGAATACAACAAAACAGAATATACAGTAAATTACATTCAGATATATTGAATACATAGAGAATAACAGCGCAGATGTTGTGTACACCATATCCATCGATATCATACATCACTACTCTTACTATAGATTATACTCAATAATAATGTGTCGTATTGTGTGACGTAATGTTACCACTGATGGAGTGATTCCTCGAGAGTTTAACACAACATTAACCTAACGTTTCAAATGTGATATACCATTAGGTTTTCCATACCATTCCCTGTTATCCCTTACCCATAACCACATATCACACATTTATTTACATATTTAAAAAATATAAATAAATTCATTGCATTTTATTATATTTAATACAATCGATTGTTTTATATCAATATTTTGCATACAATTATACAGTAAAATACAAAATTTTTAAATTATTGCTTAAATTGTTTTTAGATATAAAAACTAAAGTGCAAGTCATTGGACACAAAATTATTATAATAATAAAGTAATCAACACATCAATGACTTATTAATATTTTACAATAAATATAATAACAATATAATGATTACAAACTTTTTTTCTAATTTAAAAATATAATTATACTTATAAAATAATACATAATTTTATAATATATGATATAACAAAATAAAATGTTAGTAATAAAACTAGCAAACATTATATCCTAATTATTTTGTTTTCAAGTTATAAATTTTAATTATACTCATATTGGAAATAATTAGACTATAATGAAAGCATTATTTACAACAACAACAAAAACATCAATTGTAACCATCAAATTAAATTAATATGATATTAAATAAATATATATATATATTATATGCTTAATTTATATCATACTTAACTAATAATATCATTTATTTAATTTATATTTAAAAATATCTGTAATTATTTATTAGAAATGTATATATTTATTGTTTTTATATGTTATAAACGTTTAAATGTGTATATTAAAAAACTAATTGTTTTTGTGAATTTAAAATAATATATATTTATACACTATAACAATAAAATCAATATTTAGTAATGCATTTAATTATTTTTATAACTATTAAAAATGACTATTAATTGAAATAATGGTTACTATTTAGTAAATAATTAAGAGGTAGTCTTATAAAGAAGAGACTGACCAATAAGTGTCGTATAAATAGTCCGGTATTTATTTGTTTTAACAATTTATAGCTTTAGGCTAAATATTTTAAAGGAATAGGATATTAGTTCTTACTTAGAATTATTTGGACAGGGATTCTACCGGAGCTTCAAGAGTGAGGAGTGGTATTGGTTTGCAAATAAATGATTCAATTAATCTAATAAATCATTCATTCAGTGAAACGACTCTTTAGTATCAAAACTTTGATATTTTTCACAACTTTTGGATATAAATATTAGTGAAATTTTTTCTTAGAAATTGTATTACATTTATTCAAATTTATTGTTTCCAATGTATGTAATGGATATTTTGAGTTTAATCAATGATTTTGACCCTCGCATCAGTCAATATCCCAATACTTATGGTCCTATTAAAGGTGTTATATCTAATATTGTAAAATTATATAATTTTATATTTAAAAATAATAATTTTATAAAGTTTGTTGCTTTTGAGTTGAAGAAAATGTAAATGAAAAGTTATTTTAATGTATTAACTAATTGTTTGTCTTGAAATTGCAGCACAAATAGAGATAATTCCGTGTAAAGTATGCGGTGATAAGTCATCGGGGGTTCACTACGGAGTGATAACATGTGAAGGCTGTAAGGTATGTAATATTGAAAACATGTTTCGATCAATACTTAATTATTTGCTTACAACTAAATTAGCGATCTTTTAATTTGATAAAATCAATATAAACTAAAGTCAAATGCAATGTCTAACTGTTTGGCATTTTTTAGGGCTTTTTTAGACGAAGTCAGTCGAGTGTTGTTAACTACCAGTGCCCGCGACAGAAGAACTGTGTGGTCGATAGAGTTAATAGAAATAGATGTCAATATTGCAGATTACAAAAGTGTTTGGCACTGGGGATGTCTAGAGATGGTATGTTTGCCTAATATTACAAACTAACTATTACATTGTATTCTTATCCTAATTTATTGACAATATATACTATAATATAAATATTTGGTTATATTATATATTGACTATAAGACTAAATTAATTGTATTAATTTTAAAGACAATTAATAATGAAATAAATTTTGAATGAAAAGCTGTCAAATTTGGTCGGATGTCAAAAAAGCAAAGAGAAAAGGTAGAGGACGAGGTCCGGTTCCATAGAGCACAGATGGTTCGTACACCGGGACAAACAAATGGTGGACAACCACCCACACCGACCACCGCTCCATCCACTTATCCATCGCAGACATCATCCGAAACGTCTCCCGATAGCTCTGTATTGGAACAACAACCACAACAACCGTCCTCATCGAGCCAACTGACCTACAATACCATCACCAATGGGTATATCCTTTTGTAAAAAATGAATTATTAAAAACCTCACAAGACTTTAGTGCAAATTTTTTGATTATCTCTTATGCGATATTAGATTAAAATTTTAAAACAGATTAAAATTATCATTTAATATACAAATTGATAGGAAAATAGGAATTAGCAATAAATAATATATTAAATCAATTGTTTTTTAATAAATACAACAATTTCCGTAATAGTATAGTGTCGGCAAATATTGTTTTTAAAAGCTATAGTTTATCTCATTTAACAGTTATTATAAATGCAATTCAGGACATGAGAGGCAGAGATAGTATTGTAATTTTGATTAAATATTTAAATACAAAAAATACTGACAATCCTTCCTATTAATGAAGACAACTGTTATAATTGACGTCCTGTCGATCGCTTCATCTGTTTGTTTGTTTGTTTGCCTCATTTGTTTTAAATATCAAAATATACATTATATTAATAGTATTAACTTTTTATTAATGCGATATTCACTCAAATATCTATAAGATTATCAACAAAATTGAAAAACAAATCTAACAATCCTTTAGTTGACAATACACACACATATACAGTATATATATATATACATAAACAATTCACAGGCTTAGTATGTATAAAGTGATGAATAATATCGGGGTTATTTAAATATAGGTACACTCCATACAACAACGGTGACCTCAATGTATATACAGAAAAGTATACGCCCTCTGTATATGCTTATACACCGCAAGGAATGGCCACCTTTGACCTGTCGGCCACCACTAATGACTTTGTGGACAGTACTACATTTGAACAACAGAGACAACCCATCGACTCCCTGCCCGACACTAACGGTCTCTTATCGACCACAATCTCGCCCAACGCTATCATTAATAATTCACATTTAGGTTCGTATCTTATCTTTCATGTGATGACATGTTCTGTAATCCACACATCATTTGCATCGATAATCCTTTTCTTTTAATTATCTATTTCCGTGTTGTGTTGTCTCTCTTTTATCTAAATTATAAATAGAGTATAAAATAAAAATAACTTTTTTTTACATTTGTTTAATAAAGTCTTAACTGATAATCGATGTTAAAAATTGTTTTCTGAACAGAACTATTGGCCAAAACGGTAACCGAAGCCCACACGCGGACATGTCTTTATACAACCGAACAAATAGTAGATATGATGCGCAAACCCAACGACGCCAATAGGGTTTTGTATTTTAAAAATCTGGTCAGTCCTCAGATTAGTTGAATGATTAAGTTTGAAATAATTAAAATAATTACAAATTTTGATCATTTATTTGCCAAATGTAGTCTCACGAAGAGTTATGGATTGAATGTGCGTCAAGACTGACAAATGTGATCCAACAGATCATAGAGTTCGCTAAAATGGTTCCCGGATTCATGAAGTTGTCTCAAGACGACCAAATTGTTCTCCTCAAAGCCGGTTAGTTATTGTCTTTTATTTTTATTTATTATAATTTTTTTATTGATTTTATATTTTTAGGAAGTTTTGAACTCTGCTGTCTTCGGATGAGTCGATACTTTGATTTATCCACAAAACAGGTGCTATTTGGTGACGGACTGATGCCAAGGGATGCATTCCTTTCACAAGGTATAACAATTAACAACAAATTTTATTATATTTTTAATTTATGATAATATTACTAAAATACTATTTTTTATTTGATAAATAGCTGACATAACTGAATCAAAATTAGTGAACCAATCCTTTGATTTGGCAGAAAGTATAGCAGATATGAAACTAACAGAATCAGAGTTAGCCCTGTTCTCAGCCTATGCCTTAATATCTCCCGGTATGTACTCAAACATAATTGATTTATTTAATAAGTTATCTAAATTTATGTATTAATTAATGACAGACCGTCACGGCTTGAAAGGCATTGTCGACATTCAACGTCTTAATCAAGCGATACTCAAAGCGCTGAGGTTTGAGTTAAGTCGAACTCATATAAAGCCATTCAAAGGAGACGTCAGTGTATTTGATGCCCTGATCAACAAAATCCCGTTACTTCGGGAACTAAATATACTTCATATGGAAACCCTCTCCAAATTCCGACGCGCCTCACCTCACATGGAGTTCCCACCCCTTCATAAAGAGCTCTTTTCCATCGATATTTAAATTTATCGTTTATTTATTATATATATTGATATACTGATGATATACTGATATAATTGTGTATCTAATCATTACAATCATTGGATTCAAACTCAGATTATAATCCATTTTATGCATCACTGCCTTTATTAAGACTTGTTTGAAAAGACAATAACAACATAAACAACATTAATATCTAAGAGATTTAGACAACACTCTAAAATCTAAACGCTTTCTTAGCATTCATTCCTCCGATACTTTCAAATGACTTTTTACATTAAATTTTGCTTATTTTATAAATCCATTCATTGAATGACTTAACTTTATTTGTCTTTAAAGTATAGATTGTTTTTTAAACAAAACCCAATTTTTTGAATTATTTATTTATTAACAACAATTATAACATCAATTAATCTGAGATTTGATTTTAGGGTTTGAACTATTGTAAAACTATTAATATAATGTGAGTTTGTATTTAATTATTTTAATTAGTTTGAATATATTTCCAATGAATGATAAATATATACATATATCTTAATTTATAAAAATATATATTTAAAAAGTTTACAGATTTAAAGTTATATATTATATAAAATAAATTTATAACAAATATTGAAACAACATAGACCTCAGTATTGTGTGATATTAATTAAATATAAATATTAAGAATTTATTATTGAGATAATAACAAAATTATATTATTATACTAATTAAGATAAAAATTATTACACATTTTATTTAAGCGTTCAATTAATCTGTTATTATTTCAAATACTTTGATACTACTCTTTACAATATTTAGACTATTTATTATTGAGACAAACTTTTTTGATCATTTAAGTTTAATTGAATTCATAACTTTTTAATGACTAATATAATGTCACACATTTTTAAGCTATACTGTAAGTACTTTTTTTAGAGACATTTACAAATGTGTGCAAATTTTTTATTTGTTACAATTTATCATTAAATTTTTAGATAATTTTTCATTTTTGATTAATACGACTATTTTAATGTATTAATTGATGAAATTTTATTAAGGCTGCCACAACAAGTATTAGACAAAAATAATATACTAATCATAAATATCTGTTTTGTAAATTAAAGTCCTAACAAATGTTTGATATATTTGCTAAATATAGCTTTTTTAACTTACATTACATAAAAACCATTATAAATCTATCATTGTTTGTCATAATTTCAATTAAAATTTATTTTTATTTATATAGTTATAAAAATAAAGAAATTAATTGTTATATTGAAGTAAATGGTAGAATGGGTTATGAAAAGAGTATAACTTATTTAATAAAAAATTATTTATTTAAAATTTTTTGGGGAAACGAAGCGTTAGGATTGTGTTAAAGTTAAAGATTTTATAGTTATGTTGTTTATATTAATATTATCATTTTAATAGTACTGTTTGAATATAATTGTCATTTTAGTAAACCATCCAAAAAGTGATGCGACAGATAAACGATTCACATTGAAAGGGAGGCTGAGATATAACTATATATTATTGTTGATTACATTAATTATTATTATTTTATCACAACATTCATTAATTGAAAAACTATTAGTACCGAAAATTACTGTTCATATTATTTATAACATACATTGACTTTTAATATTATAAATGTTATAATGTTTTGATTGTAAAATTGTTGCATTATTTTAATTATTATATACTGTTTATCGCATATAACTTATTATTGTTTTGATTTGTTTAATTTGATTGTTTTCCTATTCTAATTAAGTGACCTAACTCATTTAACTCATTTAACTCATTTAACTCATTTAACTCATTTAAATTCTATATACTCCTGTTTTTATTTCATTATTATTATATTATAATCAATTCTATTATTATTGCATTAATATTTACATTATCATTATCATCATCATATATTATTATTATTATTACTTCAAATTTTATCATAACTAATACTAGTATTATTGATATTTTTATTTTTGTTTGAATTCATCCCAATTTTTTCATAGTTTTAATATACGTTGGCATCATTTTATATAACTGTACAGAGATTACTATCTTATTATTAAGTAAAACACACACAAAAAAGTTTTAATGTTTTGGGCAAAATTTGATACATAAATAATAAAACATTGAATAAATGTAAAACTGTATGACATGAAAGCATGATTTCCAATGATTGTATGATTGCTTCAATTAATTGTTAAAATAACTATAATTAATATAAATATCACCTAAACATTCATTGTTTGTTAGTTACAAACAATTGTATAAATTTTTATTGAACTAAAACCGTAGAGATTAACTGCTTTTTGTTCTAATTTTATTGTTAGCTTAAAATTATATAAAACTTTTAAAAACGTTAGATTAATTGATACAAATTAATTATTTAATATATATTGAATCGAATCCGGCCTTGATAACTCAAAATCAAACTAATAAGTTAGGCATTTAATGCATTTTAATTATATAAAATTAATTAATAGTGCCTTTATTTGTACACAGCATTACTCACACAAATTGATCTAAAGTATTAAATTTTGCTAATATTTGAGAGATTTTAAAGGAGAGTCAAGAAAAGGTTGCCTAAAAATTACAACAAAATAAATAAATAATAGTTTTAACAGAATTTATTATATAGCGAGTCGTGAATCTCAGGTTTAGTCTATATATAAATATATAAAACTCTATGGTTTAAAGTTCGACATTTAATTAATTAAAAGTACATATATTATATGAATTAACTAAAAACAAATTAATATTGTATGTGTAAAGTGTTTTTTAGTATAAGAATTTATTTGACATGTTTTTTAAAAAGAGTTGATATAAAATTGTAAAAATGGGTTTTTAATACATTTAAATATATATATATTATAATTATAACATTATGTAAATATGACATAATTTATCAACAAAACTGTTATTCTTGATTAACAATAATGAGATTTTGTGTTCAATTTTAAAATATTTCATTTAGAATATAATTTTTATTTAAATTTTCATTATTATGATAATTATACGAAAAAAATATTTAAAATTATTATTTGTTAATTATTTATTTATAATTACAATATATTATGAAGACATAGTGTTAATTAGTTAAATAATGAATTGTTTACAACAAAAATATTAAATACATATTATTCTCAACAAATCTTATTATTAATATGAAAGAAAGCTGCCATTTATACATATAAAAGATTTATTTTATACATTAGATATTTAATTTTTAAATTATTATTTTTATTATTTCTATATTTAAAAGTTATATACATTTTTAGAAATTAATTATATATACACTTATGTTTTTTTTGTAATGATATAATTAAAGAATTATTTTTGACAATAATTTTGTTGGGAATAAATGTTATTTATATTACAAACAATCGTAGACTTCATGACAAGTCTAACGATTACTGTCGTGATTAGTGATAAAAGGGATATCACTTGAGATCAACAAAAAATGCAAATAAAGCACTTCTGATACCAAGATTTGTCAAATCGTCTATTTTGTGATCATTTATTGATTGCTTTAGCATTACATTGAATTAAATGTCACTAAAGTATAATATATGATATCAAATAAGACCCAAAATATTTGTAAAAGTTTGTCACTTTTATCACTAATTATAAAATTTTTTTATGTATATTCTATTTATTGTTTGAATTATATAACAGTTTTGTCAGAAAAAACTTAAATTAAATACAAGTACTACTAAACATTGATAAGAATCGCCTTAATTTTAAATAATTTACATTTTATAAAAAATAATTGAAAACAACTTAAAAAATTATTATTGTAATTAACTAAAATGTGGCGATAATTAATGAATTGAGTAAAAGCAAAATGAGTGAGATATTATGTGATGAAAATATTATACAATGAATTTTACTGATAATATTGATTGATTTGATGTTTGCTTTATAATTAATATTATTGATTGTCTTTTAATGCTTTTTACAAATGAATTATATATTAAAAGTGAAATATCTTTGTATTATAAAAGATATTAAATTGTAGAGAATTTTTAAACAAAATTCCATAACTTTTATAGATATTATAATTAATTCATTTTATAATTAAACATAAAAATCATTTCTCTGTACGTTATACTCATTTATAGATAAAAACAATGATTGCATTAAAATCTGGTGATGGACAAATGAAAACTCATATAAATTTATTAATTATTTAATTTTTAAGTAAAATTATAAAACATTTGATTTTAATTTTATCATTTATTAAATATAATTATTATTATTGATTGAATTGTTATTGCTATTATTAAATAATTATTATGCAAATATTTTATTATTTAAGTACAAAAATTACAAAATTTTATATAAAAAAAATTATTTGAATATAACAATGAATTTTATTAAAATATTATTATAATATTCCGATGATTTGAATTTAAATTTAATCATTAAATAGATTGAAGTGAACTGACAATAATTATTATTGATTTCATTTGCAAATCAATGTTTAAATGTTATCCTTTTTATCGACCAATTGTCTCATAAACGAAGGTATTGTATGTCTCAAGTTGTATACAAAGAGTCTGATGTCTATGTTGTCGATCATACCGTATAATCCACTCATAGATTGCAAATTGATTATAACATTACAATTAGTTATTTTTAGATTATAATTAGTCATTTATTAATTGAATGAATATATATATCAATTAAAACAAACATGAGATTAACTCTTTTTTATTAAACAATTTATATTATAATTAATATGATCAACAAATATTATAGTAAAAGCTAATATTTTTTAAATCCAAAAAAAGGTTAATTGATTGACTGAATTATAAAATTTTCAATTTTTAGTTTATATTTAAACTTTATTAATATGTTACAGGGTTTCACAATTCTATTTCAATGTAGTTCAAAACTGTTCCAATAGTAAACATATTTATTTCACCCTGAACAAATATATTTCAAAAGTAAACTTATTTATTTCAATACTACAAACTATGCTTTATTATAATACATTTAATACTTATTAAACATTTTAAAACTCACAAATA